ACCTAGATACAAACTAGCTACAAGACATACTAGCAATCAGAGCGAAGAGAGTCAAGAATTGGAAAAAGAAAAAAAAAGAATGCTTTATTAGAGATAGTAGAAAGGACTTTGGCAGAAGCTCCTGAAAGTCAGAAAATCTTTATTGAAATAAGAAAAGCTTCAAGAAAAAAAACCATGTCCGAGAAGGAAAAGAAAGAAGAAAATAAAGAAAGTAACAGAAGAAGATCTCTATACTTAGGACCCAAAGAAAAACTCAACTGCAAGAATCAAGGCTCTGAGAAGAAAGGAACAAAAGAAGATCCAAAGCAGCTAGAAGAAGAGAAGACCTACCTTCAAGCAAAGCAAACCCAAACCAGAACTCAGCATCAGTTTTTGGAAAACTGAAAGAACCAAACAAGAAAAAAGAATTTTCAGAGATTGAAAACCTGGAAAAGCCGGAAGAAGAAAAAGAAAAAATATAAAGCCAAGATCGAACTACCAATAAAGAGAAAGAAAGGAGAAGACAACACAAAAGTATCAAGAATAAGAAAAAGATGGTATAAAAATCTTGTCATCAATTTTGTATATAAAGTTAATAGATTAGAATATATACAATATAAGAGTAGCGATTCAGTGCTTAGTATTGTTTGCAAGTACTGGCCACAGCCAAAGCATTTTTATGTTGTGAACTATAAATGCAATTAGGTAGTTTGACAAGGCGTGTAGCCACCAGCCGACGACTGAAGAGAAAAAAGTCCCCAGCAAGTTGGGGACCCGGAAGGAGGCCAATGGCTACTGAGGCAGGTTGTATCGGGCGAAAGCTTGGTGAGCCTTTTGTTTGGTTAGATTAGAATAGCTATAGATAAAAATTTATGTAAATTTTTTGAATAGTTTTAATCTCAAATAAACAAAGGCAGATTGCCGAATTATTAAAAAAAATAAAAAAAAATTAAAATTACAGTATATACTATGTATTAATAAAATTTAAAATTACTAAATTATTATAATCTAATTATTATATTTGAATTATTATAAAATTTTTATATAATGTATAATAATAATAATAATAATAATAAGCTTTATTTTTTATTTATTAACAAAAAAAAATACTATTCAAAATTTTAAATTATATAAAAAAACAAAAACCAAAAATTTATTGTAATTAACTAGTTAAATGCCTTTATTAATATTGTAAATAATAATTTATTGTAAACAAAAAAAATTGAGTTGTTAGTTAATTTTTAAAAATAGTCCAGAGACCTTCTTAAGCGTACCCTCCATAATCTCCATAAACACACTCTACATGTAAATATCTTTAGGTCAGATCCTTAGCTTATAATATATAGCACTATATATTTTACACTCTATATATTTTTACCATGGTCCTGAGGAGGGTGCATTTAAGGAAGTTTTTCTGTATTTTAACTTTTAACAATCAAAAACAACATACCGTAACATCCGTAGTCTTGTTTGTGCAGGTGACTTATTTTCGAGATTATTATAATAGAAAAATTAAACATTTGCGATAATAGTAAATATGATCACTAATAAAACCCACCTCTTCACTAGCAATTACATGCATGGCTAATATAGAGTATTGGTGTAAAGCGTTGACGGCACTTTGACGTCCTTCTTCTTGTTCGCTATCGGTTCTTTGTGGACGCGAAACAACCGTTGAAGATGGGAAACATTGGAATTCTACTTGTGAACTTGAAAAGGCAGAAACAGCCTGTAAAACTGGTGAAGAAGGGGGTGGGATCGTAGAATGTGAAGAGTTAAAAGGTGGTGTGATATTTGAAGTCTCGAAATCAGCCATTATGGAGAAGAAAAGATTTATTAGTAACGTTAAGTCCTATCGTTATCATATAACCACGATTGTAAATCACAGGATCGATACATCACTTTAATATTTCAACGTGATACTTTATACCTATCCCAATTAGGACTCGAATAAATCAATTGTCCGGGTAATTTATTTGTACGTACAGTACGTACGTACGTATGTACTTTTCGAGGACGCAACACTCATTAATAAAAAATCAGCGCAAATATCGTTTATAGCTTAAGCAAAGACACTTCTGAAGAACTTTGCTTAGAAGACAAAATATGTAAATTATACTGTAGAATGAAGGTAACCAGGAAAGTTTTGTTAAAAACCGCCTTATTACGTTGTAATTGTATATCAATGAATTTTAGTTATTAATAATAATAACTATATACGTACCACTTTTACCCCACCTTAAGTATATCTATCTATTGGTTCTTTTTATATATTTATTAATTTATAAGTTTTTTTAGATGAAGTTTTTTCATTTTCTAAGTATATAGTAATGTTTCAATCAATTGCCCGGGTAACTTATTAAGCAAACATCATTTATGGTTGTAGAAGGATGCTAACTTTCACTGTGCATAGGAATCTCAAAAAAATCTTAAGCATAACACTTGTTTTAGAAACCAAAACATATTGCTCTTTATTATTGTGATTTGATTACTCGTGACAATTAACGAACCAAATTATATAATTCTTACAAAATTTAACACTAATAGGAAACGAAAGAAACATCGTATAAAGTAACCTTTAAATTAAAGGGAGATAACAGTGATATTTACTACGTACTATATCTTAATCATTTCATATATCCTGTTATAAATTAAAACAAGTACCTGTAGAAATAGAATAGGTATTATTTCAAATTTATTTGATATTGTTAAAGTTTGGTAATGAGAAACCAAATTTTAACGGATCTATTTGCTTATCATGTTTTGCATTTGACTTAAATCCGGCATAAAATCTGAAAATTCTTTTTTCTTGTTTGGTTCTTTCAGTTTTCCAAAAACTGATGCTGAGTTCTGGTTTGGGTTTGCTTT